CACAGGCCGAACCCTCACTCCCTCAGCCGCCCCTCCGCCTCAGTGCAGCCCGGCCGGGCCTGCAGCGGGTCGGGGCCCTTCGCCCACCGGCCCGAGCCCCGCCGCCCGTACAGAAACCACCGGGAAGCGCCGGGAAACATCGGGAAGCGTTGGGAATAACCGGGAAGCATTGGGAATAACCGGGAATAACCGGGAAGCACCGGGAATGGGAAGCGTTGGGAAGCACCAGGCCTGTCTCCTCCCCGCCGCCAGGTGGCGCTGTCGCAGATCCCCCGCCGGAAGTTCCGCCCCTCCGCCCCTCCGCCCCTCCTCTCTATGGTCAGGGCCGTTCATGGCCGCCCGCGGGACAGCGCTGAGGGACAAAGCGCACGGACCGGCACCGGCACCGGCACGGAGGGACACAGCCCACCGACAGGGACCGCGGGGCAGAAATCGCGGGGAGGTACCGGCATGGAGAGACAGGGATCGCGGGGAGGGAGCGGGGCCGCCCCGAGGGCGCCCGTCCTGCAGCGGGAGGGCCGGGCCTTTCCTTCCCTGGGACGGTTTTAAGTCGGTGTAAGGAATATCACATTAGCACAGTCAGAACGAGTATCTGACAGGGATAGCATTGAAATAACTGCTTTGCATTGTTGGGGTTGTTTTCTTTTTTTTGTTTTGTTTTGGTTTTTTTTTTCCTTAGAAAACAAATTCGGTTTCTTAATACGAACATCTTCCGAGGGTTCTGACTTGCAATACGTGTGTACAATTTTTGAAAATTCAGACTTTCACTTGTATATTGACCTAGTGTGTTTCAGCCAAGCATACAAACCCCACCTCCCACAGCAGGAATCAGTCAAAAATGCATATTAGCAGTCGAAATAGGATTGAGAAATAGCCTGTAAGAGACTTCTTTGAGTGAAGTTAAATTGCAGTGGAAAATAGRGCAAGATGGGCTCAGGCTCCGGTGTGTGGGGCCAGCACTGGACCAGCAAGAAACCAGATGTGAGAGCATTCTGCAGTGGTTTACTTGATAATTTAATTTGGTAATTGAGTTGGTGTTTAAATAACTGCCCAGTAGAAGTAGAGCTGCACACAAAGGGAAGGAAAACTKCACAAATCTGAAACCACCAATTCGTGCATAGCCCACAGTGGTTCTTGAGGAGGCTCAGGTTGATCCAGGGTGTTGAACTGCACCAGATATATGTGGCAGGAACATACAGGAGAGTGCTGCTGGATGGGAATTGCTGATTTCAGCCAGCCTGTGCAGCCTGCCTTGTTTTCCCCTTTAGAAACTTCTTGGGAACAGGATGAGTGAATTGTTTAGCAATCAGCAGTCTTTTTTTTTGGGCCATCTTAACAACTGGTCTGGCTTGACTAGCAGGGATTGTCCCAAGGAAGGACATCCCCAGGGAATAAAAGGTTTCTGAGAGGAGTATAAGATCCATGATTTAATAACARAATAAATTTAGTATCTTCTTCATTTTAGCTAGGCTTGAATGCTATMATTTCTTTACATTACTTAAATCCAGTATGTCTGGCTTATGGATAAAAATTTGCACTGCAAACCTGATTTGATTTGATTTGAGTTTGATTGATTTTAATTCTTTCCCTAGGGTGATCTTCACAGAAACTCCTAAAGGCTTAAAAAAAATCATTTTAGGCCAAATTTGTTTTTCTGATAAAGTGAAAAAATGGATCCTTGTACAGTTGGAGTTCAGCTTCAAGCCACCAATGAATGCCACAAGACCTATTACACCCGTCAGACYGGCTTCAAAACCAAGCAAGATGTGTCTTCATCTGACCTCCTGCTGCTTCAACTTAGGACAGGAATAACCCTGTCAGAGAGCAACACCATCTGCTTACACCATGCAAAAATCTACATTGATCGATTCGAGGACTTGCAGAAATCCTGCTGTGATCCCTTTAACATTCACAGAAAACTGTCCAAGAAAAGCTTGCGAGCAATTGACTTAGATGATGCAACTTTTCTGAGTGCCAAGTTTGGAAGGCAGTTTGTACCTGGTTGGAAGCTTTGTCCCAAATGTATGCAGATAATAAATGGAAGTGCTGATGTGGAGCCCGAAGAGCGACGAAGAAGGATGGATCCAGATGTAAGGATCAGTTTTCCCATCCCCTYTACACTCTGTTAGAGTTCATGTAACTACTACATAAATAAATTAACTTTTTCACTAGTAGAAATAAGAAAGGATGAGATCTTTTAGATCTGCAGGGGTTTATTGTATTTAAACCTTTATTTGGAGGACCTTAAAAATCCTCTTGTCTAATTAAATAACGTGGCCTTTAAGTTTTGAAAAATTGTGTCTGCTAGGGTGACTTAGAGCTCATAAATTCATGTAAATACCAGACTGCTGCTGGTATTTTAAGCTGTTATTCAAGCCTGGCAAACAACAAACCCCTGTGCTTGAAAMTGAACACTGAACATATTGCTTCTAAACATGTCTTTATAATTAAGTGACGTTTTCTCTTTCTTTAGGGGCGCACAGCTAAGGCCTTAAAGTCTCTCCARTTTGCTAATCCAGGAAGACAGACTGAATTCACCCCAGAGACCAGTAAAAGGGAAAAAAGAAGGCTGCAAACAAAAATCTCAGCATTTAATTCAGACAGGTAATTTGTTAGCCGTGATTATTTCATTAACTTTCATTTCAAAATAAAATAGCCTTGATGGTCAGTGTCCCTGTAGCCCATAGCATTATCTGTGTGGATATTTATGTGTGTATGGATTGTTTTTTTTTGTTTTGGGGATGTTAAATCTCACTCTCATTCCTGGCATAAACAAAACAAGATAAAATGTTAAAACAAGAAGATAAAATGTTAGCATACAGTCCATATTTCAGGCAAACTCAAACAGGTGTTTTTGAGGCATGACAATACTACACAGATCATAGATTTAGCTGTTAATATGTATATATTTATATAAACTAAAATTCTGATACTAGGCTAAATTTGAATATAGTAAGAACAAGTAGATTGCACTTAAAATATTGGAGTTATCATCTCTCAGTAAACTCAGTAATTACACTTGGTAAACAAAAGTGTGCAAGTTAGGTCTTAGCTTCCTTTTGAAAAACAAAGTTAAGGTCCAAGTTGGACAATACTAGATAAGATGCTACAACCTTCTAATGTGATTGATTTTAAAAAAAGACATTTTTCTGTAGAGGAAAGGCATATGAAGTTTAATTTTGTTTGTCATTTTCCACTAAAATTTGGGACCAGTTTTCAGCTTTAACTGAAACATATCAATATTTGTCAAAATAYGCAAGAAATGTCAGAYTAATGCCTTWCTCTCCACCYGTGTGTAAAWGTGCAAGACAGAAACAGACACTARATATGCTGCTCACCAACTACACATYCTTTTCATCTCCATCTGTTTCTCCTGCTTAGTTTGGGCACAGAGTGGAGATACAATTAAGACTGAGAAATGTTGTCAAATACAACATTTGTGAGTGAGGTATGTCTGTCTTTTAGATGAACACTGTTACAATGCTCACCTTTAAAAAGCAAAYTTCCCCCCACAAATACGAGCAGCGTGGCATCAAAATAATTGTTTTTTAACTGGAAATAACTGTCGTTTTCCATTGTATAGGCAAGTTATACCAGCCAAGAGTAAAGTGTACGACAGCCAGGGCCTGCTGCTGTTCAGTGGGATGGAYCTGTGTGACTGCCTGGATGAAGATTGCCTGGGCTGCTTCTACGCCTGCCCCAAGTGCGGCTCCAACAAGTGCGGCACCGAGTGCCGCTGTGACCGCAAGTGGCTCTAYGAGCAGATCGAGATCGAGGGAGGGGAGATCATTCGAAATAAGCACGTGGGGTAGTGCACATGGGTATTATTTAACCTGATTGTGTGTTCCATGCTTTGATTAGAGYCAGCACGTTCATYRTTTAGTGGTTTAATGGGATTTGTCRCGATCCACATGATGAATGTGCTCATTTTCACAGTATCATAATCGTGCTGCTGTCTTTTCACACTTGAGTCTGCAGTGTACTCAGCCTSCTTAGTCATCCAGGTGAGATCTCAGTGAACAGTCTTTATTTAAGTACAAGRTGCAAAATTCTAATGAGATCTATCCTGAGCCACTCATACATTGTTTTATAGAATGTACCATCTCCATATATCCCTCATTTCTCCTCTAGTTCAGGATCTCATGGATTTTAATTCACTGTGGAAGTTCTCAGTGAGTTGACATGCAGTATTAATAAAACTCTAGTATTAATAGTGAATGCTATATCTTATATGGAGTATTGAAGGTACACGTGATAAATCCAATCCTGTTCACTTAAAAAGGATTTATAAGGATTTAGGTATTCAGATCTCATCCTAGTTACTGGAATTTGAGATCAATTTATGAATTCAAGCCTCACTCTTAAAATATTGAAATTTAACTCTCAAGGCATTGTGTTAAAGTGCTGTTTATTACTTTGTTGSTCTCTGTTGAACAAAATTAAAATAGTTTTGCTCTGTTTGTTTTAGGTCTGTAATTGGACTGAACTGGTACTTCAACAGCCCTTTTTCACTTCTTTTTACTGATTTTAAAGGTGTATATGCAGCTGAAATGAACTTGAGTGTCTGTTTCCAAACCAAGGTTATTTAGAKTTACCGAAAAAGCCCAGTTGCATTGAAAGTATCTTTGGTTGATACATTATCTGTCCTCAGAGTATTAAACTTTGACAATATAACAAGGTTTATTGTAAATATTTTATAAATTGAATGGTAGTAACATTTTTATTCCTGTTGTTTTGTATAAATTTCTAATTTCCTTGATTGACTTGGAAGATCTGCATATTTGTTGGGTCACATTTTTTCAATAATACTGTCAACTTCTTGCAGACTTGGTAAAGTTGTATAAGCTTGGTATCTGTGCAGACTTCTTTATTTTCTGGTAAGTGTCAAGAACATTGCATTGCCAAAATCCACAGTTATACTTTGAGTTGTGCTGACATCTGCTGGTCCTACTGGAGTATAAGCTCTGAGATGCTACATTTCTATTAAATCTGCTATAAAAATAATGAGACTGGGGTTTTTTTTGGGGTCAGAGCATTGGCTGTTCTTCCAGTGGATGTCTCTCATTGGCCTTGGGTTCCAGCCACATTTATCCCAAGAACTGTGATGTGAATCGTGTGCTCTGGATCCATGTTTGGATCCGTTCCTCTCTTAAACAACCTTTTGAATGAGGTGAAATTATAAACAGGTAACTTCCAGAGAGTGAGAGGAGAAAAGCTGTCTGAGCAGTACCCATTGTTAATAAATTTAACAGGCTTCCACGTGTGTGATGAGTGTAACTTACACTTTAAGCCCACAGCCAGGATTTGGATTCAGTAACTTAAGTTCCCTAGAGCATTCCATTGTTAGAACCCCATAGTTCTCCACTCCMCTAAGTCTCTGCAAAGTTAATGTATTCAGCCTCTCATTTTACATATGCACCAGCAGGTGATTACTTTCCCAAATAAAACACTTGTTTCCTAAAAAAATACACAGGACTGCTGTTTGACTAAACATCTGCATCAAGCAGTGAGTACTGTCCCTAAAGACAGTTGGGGTTTGGATTTTTTTTCTAGTAGAAAAATTACTTTTTGGTGTTCGCTGTTCACATGTTCTCCTGACATATTTAGGACATTTCTATTTAGCTGCATTTCCTTAATATGCCTAGGCTGTAGTGTGTTACTCAGTTCAATAGTATGTTTTTATACAGTTCCACATGCCCCATAACCATTTCCCTCTTAAAAGACACTGTTACAAGTCAAGCTCTACCATCTTGCTCGATTTAAAACGCTTAGAGGGTGAATTTCTCTCTTTTTCCTGTTTTTATAAACACCACAGAAACTATTTTGTCATCATCTAAAGTCAGTACATTATGACTTCTTTTAATAGAGCCAAAGGAAACAACTGCTTTCCATAAACCAGAATTCATATACCAGGCCTCCAGCACTTTGAGTCCTGCATGCAGTGAAGCCAACTGCAGGTTCAGTAGCTGTATTAAAACTTCCCTTTTGGTATTAGTTGCAAAACTTCAAATCATGCATATTTTAAAATCCTACTAATAGTGAGGTATCAGTTCATTGAAATTATTATATTTATAGATCATTAATTACAAGTTGCATGTAATATTCATCAATGTGGAAGCTGTAACCAGAACTATTCTGTCATTCATTCACTGCTGTTAGATTTCAAACCACCAGCTGTCATCTAACATGGATTAAAAAATGTTGTGGGGAGGTGTGAACAGTTGCCATTAAGATGTTCAGCTCACTCTTKGAAGAAGTTTTGTTCCATTATCCTGCTCTGAAATTGGGGATTTACATATTTCCAGTCCCTCACACCCAGCAGAGGGCATCAGCTGACAGCAAACCTGGCCATGGTGCACCTCCAAGGGATGGGGAATTGGGGAATTCCTCGAAGAGGAATTCATTGGCACCTTCAGAAATCGAAGCCAGGACAAGAGAAGTGTTAGCCACATCCATGAGGCTGCAGTRTGGCAGACTCAGGTACAGGATTAGCATTTCAGACAAATCAATTTGATTTTCAGGCTTTATAAGAGCTTCACACCCAATCCCCAAATACCTCGATTGCTATTTCTGTAAGAGGAGAGCAACACMTTTTTGTAGCTACATTTACATTTTACATTTCACTACAAAACTTTGGTTTAGAGCTCCTGCCTGGACATTCCCTCAGGAATGTGGGATTGGGTGGCCAAGAAACCCATTCACAGCAGGGCCCTGCACTCATTAGGAAAATGAACTTTTTGATAACCACAGTGTTGCTTCTGCCAGTGGCACAGAGCCCCATGTGTCCTCTCTCCCAGACAAACAGGGAAGAAGTTTTTTCTACCAAATATTTTTTTATTAAAATACCAAAGTATTTTACCAGAGTAGCTGCAGAGCCAGAAGCAATGTAGCATAAGGCATACTGGGCTGGGGATAGGGAATTTCCCTGCTTCTTTTGCCATGACTAAGTGGTGAGAAAATTGCCAAAATTTCTCTCTTCTTCCCCCGTCTTCCTTCAGTAGCCCTTCACGTGTACTCACCAGCAAATTAAACCTTTACCACACACCAAGTGGCTTGCCTTTCTAAGCTCTAGTTAGGATAATATTAACAATTTTTATCATAAAATCAGTTTTCCATCTGGCCCACAGATGTCAGCATTACCTACCACAACCTAAGAGTGGGTCCGTGCAGAGCTCCAGCTTGCAGCCAGGAGTGAAAGCCATTCTCTCCTATCATCTTCTTGTTATTCTTCCATTTGTTCTTGCATTTTAACTGATAGCTCTGTCCCTTTTTAAACTGGTTGTTTTAGCTGCTTAGTGCCATGAATAGACAGCATTAGTTAACATATTAAAAAATAATGTATATTTATATCTATAGATATATACAWACATATATACAGATATATATACCAGCAATGCAGGTAAACTGCTTACCAAGACCATCAGAACTTGAATTCTCAAAGAGAATCAAAGTCAAAGTTCTTACTTCATTCAGAGCTTTTAAGGCCTCACAATCATCCTTTAAAATGACTGACTACTTTGCTTAAAGATAGAAAAGAAGATTTTTACCGAATTTCAGTAACGTAAGTTTTCTTAATTCAGCATTTCTTTTTCTATTTAATCCTGCATTAGAGTACTTTATAATCCAGGTGAGAATGAGTTTCCTTCTCATTTCATCTATTTACTATTTTAAGTTTGTAGCACACACAAAAAAACCCCAAAAARCAAAACCCACAACCAACCAAAACCCCACCATCAAGCGTCCAAGCTGCTCCTTTCCTTCTGTTTTATAACATGGTAGTGCTCTCCCAGCTGACTTGCTTGCCAGTTTTCAATCAGATGGGCTGGATCTTGACAGTTGACTTCAATGCTCCTGAAACTTTTCTCTTGACAACCATCTCTATTTAGCAGTCATTATAATCAGAGTGATTATATTTTGGCTTTGTTTTCATTTGTTATCTTTGCGCTGCTTCCTGGGAGTTCAGTTCAACCTCAAAGAAAAGAGAACAGAGATACTTTTTGGTAAATCCAGCAGGCTCCTGAAATTGTACAGGTTGTCATATCAGCACTGAGGGAACCTCAAATCTCAGCTCTTTCATGTCTCAGTAGTGAGCTCCTAACAGTCCTGGTGATTTGGGTGAAATTGCTTGCAGGGGTGAGCAATCCAGGCCAAGCAGTGTGCTCTGCCCAGGTGAAATGTGTCAGGATAAAATGCTGTCACTGACAGAACTTTTTGGACAAAGATACCCTTCATCCTCCCTGGTTATGTGTGAAACAGGAGGAAAAATTGTGCCCAAATATGATCCTAAGAAGCCACTGTGGAAGGCAGCTACAGGGTGTACACCTAAAATAAAATCGCCTTCTGTTGTGGGATTCCCAGAATAAAATGCTGGTAACCTTTACAGGATTGTTCCCTAAAGATCCAGAGAAGCCTGAATTCCCCATGAAATATTTTRTGCCAAATGCCTGGGTCTGAACTTSCATGCTTGTGTTTCCCTTTGGAGCTCAGAATGAGGTTTGGAGGTGGGGACAGGGCAGCCAGACACGCAGCAGCAGAGGAGGTGACTTTTCTTGTACTTTCTGTTGGTTGTGGTCAGTATGAACCAACTGGGTACTAATGAAAGTTGCTTATATCTCTAGGCATTTTATTTCACCTTTATTTATCTCAAAGTTTTATTTTTCACAAGGGATTTTCTTCCTGTTGTGGGTTTGGTTTTGCTTTAATCAAAAACCCCCAAAAGACTGAATTTATCCAGCCTAATCCGTGCTGGCTACCTCTGCCTTATGGTGCTATTTTTGCTCCAGAGTGGCAGAACCTAACTCCCTAAYATTGTACCTGTAATTTATTTAATTTTTGTCTCCATAGTGCTCCCAATCCACTGCTGGTGCTCCAGGCACAGCAGGAACCCTTTCCTTTTTCCCATCTCTTCCTTCCACCGACACCACTCATTTCACAATATTATTTTTCCCATCCAGCACTGGYTGGTGATGCTTTTCACATGTCCAAAATTGCTACTGACATTTCAATTTTGCTTCRTTTTTCTCCTTTCTTTGACGGAATTGCAGAGAACATTTATATCTGAATAAAAAGCAAATAATGCATGTCAGAGTATGCATTGGGGAGCAACAAATAGTTTTTTTTTCCAATTACAACCCTATTTCAGACCAGGTAATGCAATTAAAGGATAATTACTAGAAGTGCAAAGCCGAGGTTATGATCAGAAATGGTTACCCTTTCACTTCCAAGGGCTGTCTGAGTAAATAAAACATTCCTGGGGGGCGAGTGACTCTGCATATCTGCARATATCCAGCAGCAACATGTCTGGCATGGAAGAGTGGCTCTTGGAGTGTAAAAYACCATTTTAGGAAAGAGGATGCATAAAAATGGATTTATCACTGGTTAATAGTGGTATCAATTCMTGTCAAGATAGGATATTAATTAATAATGTATTAGAAGTTTTTTAACAAGCAGCAGGGGGAATGGTGCTTTTCCCTTCAGCTGGGCTCAGAGGTGGCTAAAGGGGATCTAAAAGTGGATCTGAAAATAGCTAATAATAACTGTGGGAGGTGTACTTATAAATGTGAGGGTGCTTCAGAATTTATTCAGATAAAGTCTCACCCTTCAAAATTCCCAGACTGCTGGAAAATGCTGCTTCAGGAGCCTGTCTGCTGATCTAATGCTCCAGTGTCAGCAATGATTAGTAAGGTTCTGCCAATCTGTTTTATCCAAGTGCATGAAATAAAGCAGCAATCCTTTATTATTAACTGCTTTATTGGACTGGTAATAGTGCCTAAAAGGGGTTGGGACTCCAATTTGCTCCTCTTGGAACCGCTGTTCACTGTGAAACCCCACAGTCTCATTTCCCACAAGGATTCCAGTGGGATGCTCCAAACCACTTGGGTGAAAATGATGATGATAATAATAAATTTATATTGTTTATGAAGTGATAAATCAGTTTGTTTCTCACTCCAGTCTCACTTCTGGATTTATTCTACCTCGTGCCACCTGTACCTGAGGCAGACAAAACTGCTCCTGTGTTGACAAAYGAGGGAAATGAGGCAGAACAGGAAATGCTGAGCCCTATGGAGCAAACAGAGGAAAAGCAGCTGAGGTAAAGCATTTCCCTCCTTCCCTGGAGGTGTTTCCCATCTTAGTAACTGGAGGGGTAATAAGTAAATAAATACAATGCCTTATTTTAGCTGTGYTGTTGTTGYTGGGGTCCTTTGTCTGCAGCGTACTCAGAAAAAAAAACTTTTGGATTGATGTGGAGGCCACAAGCCTATTTTCTATTAAAGTGTATTAATGCCAGGTTCTGTGCAATTAGTGAAAAGTCAATTCCCATTACTAGTTAACAYTATTGAGTATCTGCTTTCTTTAATAAAAACCTGTGTCCAGCATAAAGACAATAAATCGATCAGCAGCCGCGTTCCAAATCTATTCTGTCTCCTCCAAAAACGCAGAGAGAGTGCTGCCCTTTGGAAATCA